CAACATCTACATGCAGGCAATACACTCATACACATAAAATAAAATAATAAATAAAATATATAAAAAAAGAAAAACTAGAGTTCAACCGACAAACTTCAAGTAAGAAGAACCTACTATTTTGCCATTATCCACTCATCACAGGATGCACTATTTTGCCAAGATACAAAAATGAACCTAGAGCTGGTGAGATGCCACTTACCTCACAAGCCTGAGGACCTGAGTTCAATAGGAAGAACCCATGGTGGAAAGAGAGGACTGACTCTTGAAAGTTGTCCTCTGACCTCCACATGTAGTCTGTGGTGTGTATATGCATACGCATGCACAATATTAATAATAAGTAAAATAAAAATTAAAAAAAAAATGGGAGTGGAGAGATGGCTCAGCCCTTAATAGTACTTCTTCTTTCAGAAGACCCTGTAACTCCAGCCCCAGAGGATATGATGCCATCTTCTGGTCTCTGTGTGCACCTGCACACATGTGTGCACACACACATATACATGTGCATGCACACATAAATAAAATGTCTTTAAAAAATAATAAAAAATAGAAGGCAGGTGTGGTGGCGCACACCTTTAATCCCAGCACTCAGGCCGCAGAGGCAGGCGGATCTCTGTGAGTTCAAGGCCGGCCTGGTCTACATAGTGAGGTCTAGGCCAGCTAGGGCTACAGGGAGATCCTGTCTCAAAAAGACCATTTTTGAGAAGAACCTTAGATTATTGACATCTAGTTCAGACTCTTTAGGGTGTGAAAATTTAACCTGTATTTTCTCCTTATTTTTTAGGTAAAACATATATTTGCTTATATTACTTTTGATATATCCATGTGAAAAGGGAAAATAATTATATTGGCTTATTACAGAAAAATATAAACAAATGTTATAGGTGGGGGTAAGGAATGAAGAACAGTGAGAATTGAGCCTTGGAAAGTTCTTTCCCTTTACGTATCAGATATATTTCTGTTCTGTGTTGGTTATTTTGATATTATTTAAAAGCTTTCAGCAGGTTGGAAATAACAGTAAAAATAGTTGTTGGCATTTTTTAAAGATTTAAATTAAAGAATTAAAAAATTTTTTTTAGTAATTTATGTGTTATGTCCATGTTTGTGAATGCAGGTGCCCTCAGAACTCAGAGATGTTAGATCTTGCTGGAGCTGGAGTTATAGGAGCTCTGGACTATCTAGATGAGAACCAAACTCAGGTCCCCTGCAAGAATAATATGTGCTCTTAACCACTAACTCATCTCTCCAGTCCCCAGTCATTAGCATTTTTAAGAGCTTATTTTTTACCTGGCATTTTGCTTGGGGCTTCAGATACATTGGTCTTTAGTTGCTTTGAAGATATGTCTTTCAATGACCAACCTGACAGTACTGCAAAAATGTAAACACATAAATGTATATATTGCAGTGATTCCCCAAGCTTCTGGATAAAGTTGCCCAAATCTTAACGATTGTTGAGATCGAGTAACTAACATACACACGTGCTATTTTACTTTTTCTTTTTTCTTTTTATTTTATGTGTATGAATGTTTTGCCTGCATGTGTGTAAATGCACCCATTTTGTGCAATGCCCATGGAGTCCAGTGAATTCCCTGGAACTGGAGTTACAGATATTTATTAACCACCATGTGGGTGCTGGGAATAGAACCTGGGTCCTCTGCAAGAGCAGCCAGTAATTGTGACTGTTGAGCCATCTCTCCAGCCCCACGCTATTTTACTTTTGTGAATGTATGAAAGCCCTTTTATCATAAACCTTGAAAAATACACAGTAAAACAATTCTCCCTCAAGGCAGCACACAGAGCAGGAAACCTGATCATGTTCCTATTTCCACCTTGAGCTCAGCATGACAGTTGACCACACATGGGTCATACTCTCTGCTGGGTGATTTGAGATGAGATTTTATCTTTCTTTTTTTTTTTTTTTGTCTTTTTGAGACGGAATCTCCTTGTATCCCCAGCTGTCCTCAAATTCCCAGAGATCTGCCGGCCTCTGCCTCCCAAGTGCTGGTATTAAAGGCTTGCCCCACCATGCCCGGCCCATTATTTGTTCTTAAAAGTCTTAAGCAATGCATCATCATCATCATCATCATCATATTACATATAATACATAATACAATAATACAAAAAGATCGGTCCTGCCCTTTATTTCCAAAGTGCTATCTGTATTTCAGCTAGGACAGGTCTTGGCCTGGCCTGGCCTGGCAAGGTCTCAAGGAATATGTGTTGACAGGGAAGTGACTACTCCCTGATAAAGTCACAGTTTCCTTGACTTCCTGGTGCACTGACTGAAACAGAGGTATTATTTATCTCTTTCAGGCTGTTGTTACTGGGTATATAACTCAAGATTATTGTGGGTTAAATTGAAATCACTTAAATAGGGCTTTCTCCCCACCTCACAACAAAAAGCACTGTTTTTGCACAGCTAGAAAAATCTCCTTTCAATACATAGATTCCGGTGTAGTTTTCTTTAAAATCCTCATCAATCAACTTTCTGTGCATCAGGTCCTGCTTGCAGTATTTTCTGTGATCCTGATTGTCAGTGCACATTCAATATCAAGCAGAGGTGATGTGTAGATATATGGCAGCTATTTAGAAGGGAGGCCTGGCATAGACCTGCTGGTATAATTAATCAGACGCCTCCCTCAGACACTGAGGAGGTGGAGGTAGGATATAGATGCTTTCTACTCATCAGCAACATTTAAGAAAAATAGGTGCTTCCTTAGTCCTTTGAAGGCTCAGAAAATTTAAATCTAAAGACCCAGTAAAGGACTTTGGGAAACTGCTGTATGGGTGAGGTCCTTAGAGTGGAAAGCAGGGAGATTCTACCCCAGACTTAGCAGGAGTCCCTTACACGTGGAAAAGTGGTAAATCTTTACTAACGATTAGAACTTGCATGGCAGGGGACTGTCAATTAGGAAAGGCGCTTTACCACAGAGGA